TTTGTTGATGTGATTTGTCTTTTGTTTTATCTAATGACCTCTCATTGCAAATAATTCATATTATGTTAAATGGTGACCAGGCCAGCGGGGCCAGCTATGCATTAGGGGCGGCTATCCTTCTTTAATTGGGGTTTATTTTCAAAATTACTTTTTTCGGGAATTTTTTTAGCATTGAAATACTGTAAAACACCGTTAATTTAATCGCTAGCCGTTTGCAAACATCTCTAAGTAATCTTCAGTAGTCTATTCAGTGTATCCCTACCTTATGAACATATCATCAGCCAATATGTTTGACATCGGAGTCCCGAACCAGTTTCAACACTCCCGATAAGTGACCAAACATCGGGTGATCGCCCCGGCTACAATCAAGGGCGCGGCATATGTTTAGTTATAGTGGTCATTCATGCACACTCATACAATTTACATTATAAATGTGTTTAATTTTTCTAATGCACAATCGCGTTAAATAAGCTCTTTATAAATTTGTATAAAACAAATGTCAAATGTGTATATTGTTCGGGAAATCGCTGGCCATCGATGACAATAATTATTTTTAATATTTATACCACAAAATAATCTCAATATATAGTAGCTTTGTATAACATAGAGCTTTGTTTTATAAGCATGTGTTTTACTTACAAAAATATAGGTTAAAGTTCAGGTATCATTTTTGAACATTACTTTATTTTTTACCTAGATATATAGGTATAGTATATAATAAAATAAATATGATAATATATAAATGTACAATAATATAAAGTATATACATACACATATTACAGAGTGTAACTGGGAAAGCGTTTTGTCGAATAACTCGAAAACGGCTAATTCGATTTTAGATATGTTTTCACCGAATTGTAGCATGATAATGCGAAAATCAAATGGTATATATCATGACACAATTATTCAACTGAATACTATTTTAATTATAGATTTAAAATATTATTATTTTACATGAAAATGAATTACAATTTTGTATGATTTCATAAATAAAACAATTTTTAAATTTAATTATATTTTTGACAAAATGTAACGATTAATAGCTTGTGTGTCCACCGGCAGCAGTAATGACTTCATTCATTCTCTTAGGCATCGATTCAACCAAATTCATGAAATATCCGCGCCTTTCAGTCTTATCCAATGATTTGTGAGCGTTTTGAATAGCAGTCCATAATTCATCGCAGGAATTAAATACTGGATGTGTACTTCTGACCAAATGCTTAATCATTGATCCCACATTTTCCACCGGGTTTAAATCAGGTGACAGACTGTTAATTATAAAAATTAATGATCATGTAATTATTTTAAATCAATTGTTTTAAATACCTTGGGTGTGGAAACACAAAATCACGGGAATTTCTAAAATTTGTGTTAATCCAATCAATCACTTGTCTTGACGTGTGCGCAGGGTGGTTGTCGTGCAACAACAAGACATCACCTTCTTCAAAAGCCGGGTGAGACTCAATGTATGGCTTAAGCGCGTTCTCTAAATAATCGGCGTACGAGTCCTGATTGAGTCTTTCGACACGTCGTATTGGACCGATGCCATAAAAACTGAAATTATAAAATAATTATAATAATAGTAAAATTTAATTAAAAATACTTTTACCAAACAATGAATGAAACATTAAAACGACGTGTTGTCTGATGTTTTGCGGGTCATATCGAGTGCCCACTTCTCTCCAAACCCATGTCCGGCCGCGGTCTGCCGTACTGTAGCAAAACTCGTCAATGAAAATACCGCGAGCCCAATCAATTACGGTCCAGTCCTTCATATTCGTAGCGTAAAGGAGACGGCGATCTGTGTGGACAGCGGTCAGCAACTCTTTCTCAGCCGCAATACGATGTTTGACTCCTTAATAAATAAAATATAGTTATAGTTGGACAATTAGGTTCAATGGGTTAGACTCTCCAAAAGTTTTTGTATTACATAAAAATACATTAATATGATAAATATCGTAATTGTAAACTCCATTTACATGAATTTTAATTATTACTACAATTATGTTAAAATTATTATAAAACATTGATAAAACACTAATCTATTTTTATGTAAAACAAAAACTTTTGGAGAGTCTAACCCATGGTGTATAATTGCCCGACTATGACCTATAATGTTTAAAAATTTTATGTTTACCCTTTTCTTTTAAACGTGATCTCAATGTTGTGTCACAGACTTCTGTCAAACGATCGTTTGCTGCAATTGCCGGCAATTGTCTCAATTCACTCAAGTTTGACCATTGGTTTTGTAGAGCAACCCTATGGAGCAATCGGTCATCTGCTGGTGTTGTCTTGCGATTAGGCGGCGGAAGCTTTAGAAATGTCAGGAATTGCTCTTCATTTTCGTCAATTCTCTTCCAATCAGTAAATGTATTTTTACTTATTTCTATGTATAATTAAAATCAAAATTAAATTACAAAAATTACAATAAATGATAAATTATTTACCGATTTCATCCATTATTTGTCTCGGCGTCACTCCTTGAGCCCTCAATTTAATAAATCGCCTAAATTTAAACTCTTGCTCTTTGGCCTCCAAAGGCATACTTAATTAATTAATTGTTAATTGTGTTTAAAAACAATAGACAAATTTGAAAATGTAAACAAATTCAAATGCAATAGTACGGTCAACAAATTACGTCAAGTATTATAATATTAAATTTAATTGACTAAAAATGCATTGAATCCCATGTAAAATAATTATATTTTAAAATTATAATTACATTAGAATATCGTTGAATAATTATGTCATGTTATATACCATTTGATTTTCGCATTATCAGGCTACATTTCGGTGAAAACATATCTAAAATCGAATGAGTCGTTTTCGAGCTATTCGACAAAACGCTTTCCCAGTTACACTCTGTAATTTGTGTATGTATTATGTCAATTACATTTATGTCAATAAGATTTGTAAGGCAGGTATACAGAAATATTGTTACAAAAACAATATACAAATTGCGATCAAAATTTATATAATAACAACTCATTACTAATATATTAATTGATAAATATTAACACAATATTTTGCTACAAGGTGATTTCAATAATTGAATTGTTTCATTTAACAAAAGGGCTAACATTCTTCGTTAAATCATAGCATTCAACCATTGAATGTTACGGTACCTAATATATTAAGCAACAAAAAAGTTACCTTTATGTAAGATAAAATGATTAAATTGTTTAATATTGAAGTAAATTAAGGTATACTATGGCAGGAAATGTAAGAATCTGAAAATATAACACAATTATAAATTGTTATTATAAATATTTGGATATGATTTGAATAAGGTTTGAATATGATTTCACCGAGCAAAATTCACGAGCGATGACTGAATTGAGCAAAATATAAGTTACATTCGCCTCATTATAAAGTGTGGACGAGATATGGATTATAACCATAGTCTCTCACTGTGTGCATTTCTGTGCATTTGACCGCATTATAGGGCAACAGACTTTATAGTCAATATATTATTATATTAAAACACTCACATATGTAGTTATCAAATAAATAGAGTGGTGGGTTGTTTCACAGTAAAACAAATTCAATTTGTGAGCAATATTTTGCAAACAAATGTAATTGCATTTGTGATTAATGTTTAAAAAATTTCCATAATACAACAAAAATACTGTTTAGTTAAAAACTTTTTTTGAAAGCTTTTTTTGAAAGATGCGTTTTACTGGATTATAACCAATAGAAACAATACATAAAGCAAACAAACTGCCATCGGAATCATTTTCATTATAAATGAAGTATGGGCAAATATTGATAAGTATAGTTGCAAACTTATTATTCCGCTTATTGTGAGCCATTGGCCGCACAAATATTTTGACCAATAATTACTGCTATAGGCGTCTATTTCTACGTATACTTGATTGAGCATGGTGAAAATATATGGACAAATTGCTTTATTAACTCTAATGCTTATATTAATCGCACGGATTTTAGCGGTCAAATAATATGTTATAATAATATAATATATAATTTGATAGATTACTATACTATTAGTATAATAATTGCATAAGCTAAAAAACATGCTGTTGGCTAAAATAATTAAAATAAAATAACTGCTTTGACTATAAATATAAAATAATTGAAATGAATAAATAAAGCTGCAATTGCGAAAAAATTTGGACACAATCTGGCGATTGTTAATAATCGCCGGCAGATATGGTATAACTTTTGTACCAAATCTTTATCAGTGATACCAATACTAATGGGCGCTATTCGGCCGGCAATCATACTTAACACACGTAAATCACTAGCATTTACACCACGTTTATAATTGTGATAATTTATTAGCTGACATCCGATTCCAAATGTTGAAATTATAGCGAGTGTTGCGTTCGCTACGAATCCGGTGTTTACAAAATAATCAACATCACCTAGATAGAAATGATATTTACTGGGTAGGGATGTTGTCCGCCAGTATAACCAAATGCATATTATATTTTTGGTCAACATTACAGTCATTACTGTAAATATGATTTTTGGATTAAATCTTTTTGATCTTTTATAAGAATTAAAATCGGGGTTAAATAGCGATAACCCGATTCGGTAGAGATGACTGTCCGCCGCCCCGACAACCCATTCACGGGCTATGGGTTTACTCGCAGACAATTTCCTTGACATAGTATTTGATCAAATTTATAAATATTAAAATAAATTATTGAAATTAAACAATACAACTACATGTAAGTAATGTAAGTAAATATGTTGTATAAAATATAGAAAATAAGTTATAATATTAATTGTTAAGCAGAAAATAATTGTATTGCTTTTATTATATTATTAATGTTTTCTTATAAAAATAAGACACTGTAATTAATTTGCATCTAAATTATTTTATTAGTTTATTAATAACATCAAATGTATTGATACTTAAATGAAGTTACATTAAATGAAGGTTATATTATATAATGACTTATTATTTGCTTATTATAATGGAAGAAATTATTAAACTCAAAAATAATAATTTACAATGGGCGATACAAATATTACGTTTACAGCAATGCCAATATATAGCAATGTTATTTAAATGAGTAAATCAAAGCCATTATTTTGCCATAGATTAGCCATAAGTTTAGCATTTTTCCTTTGACTTAGGACTACTTATTGGATTAGTATTAGGTCCATAGTAATAACATTGCCCGTACCCTTATGGTGAAATGATGATCATGTTGTATTTTGTATTTGTATCAATATTGTATTTTACTTTATAAACATAATAATTATTTTACATTTACTTTTTAAATTACATATGAATATATTACATATTGTATAATAGTTAAATATTAATTTAATAATATCAATATATTTAATAATCAATTTAATGTTGTTATTGAAATATGAATTTCATATTAATATTTTTCTCTTGATAATTTTAATTAATATTGCCCTAGTATTATATTTAATTTTAACATAACGATATAATGTAAAATAGAATAGAATAAAAATGAATATTTAACATAGACCATGGTAAGTATTTTATAATTATTCCATTAAATTCATGTATATCATTGCACAAAATGCAATAATCTGTTTAAAAAGATTAAAAATAATGATCAACAATATTAATTAGTGTCGGTAAAAGAAGAAATTTTCTTTCACGCTCACTCACGGTCACGAAAAAATTATTCACGCTCACTCACGCTCACGAAAGTAAAAATACCACTCACTCACACTCACTCACGCCAATCACGTTTTGTCTATGTAATTTAAGGATAGAATTGAAATTATCCATAATAATGCTTTCAACCACACTATTGTCGTTAAACACGTTGTTTAACAAATACTAAATAACTATATGTTGACTTATTTTTAGCAAATACTATATTATATATAGCTACAGAATATATATTTTTACAATATACATATACTAATGTATCGCCTATTGAAAAACCGTGAGTGGCGTGAGTGAGATTTCAATCGTGAATCACGCTCACTCACGGGGTGTCTAAAATTATTCACGTTCACTCACGATCACGGCCCGTGAGCGTGAGTGAGCGTGAATCACGTGATTCGTGATTCACTTTACCGACACTAATCCGAATGACTGCATTCACTGTTATTTTCTATTCACACGTAAACAAAAAACCAAGAAATAAAATCCTCGGCTATTGTTTGAACAGAAACTCTCGTCGAGACGACAAGAAAACCGTTTTTCATATCC